CTATACGTGTGTTTCATTTTACACGTATGAGGCATGTAGAAAGATTCATTTCAAAAAAATTAGCGGTCCAATTTGGTTGAAAGGCCAGGTCACTAGGGAATATTTCTTACACGGCATTCCGACCTACAGCTCGAATGCATTGTGATTATGAGCACAAGCATCCCAAGACCCTGTGGAGAATGGAGATCTGAGGGTTGAAAGGTGACGCACGGGATAGGAAGAGTTTCACTATCTTGCAACACACAAATAAACAACCTTGCTCAAAGCAAGACTCAAACACGCGACTGCTGAAGACGAGATATTCAACGCGCACTCGCCTTTAACCATCTAGTCTACCCAGATAGCATCATGATATTAATCTTCGACAGAAGTACTGAAGAACACTAAATAATATTTTTGGCATTTGGATTTTACATACTGAATATGAAGTACTTTTTTCTAACTTGTCTTTTAATTTTATTTACGAAATTTTCCTACTTTCCAAGAACACCCGTTGGTTTTAAAGAGGTTATTAGAGGCGGGAAGAATAATATTATGACTGGATATAATGACATCATTAATGAAATCAACGTGAAATTCGGAATAGCAACTAAATTATTCACTTGTTATCTGTGAAATTAAAAACGGACATGCACTGACATTAATTCTTGGACTTCACTTACAAAGACTTTGGAATTTTGAGGTTTAGAATGTCTCTTTTATTTCTCTCTGAATGAACAATGCAACAGGTCGTAATTTATGAATCATAATCGAAAAATAATATTTCCTTATTCACAAAATTGTAATAGTGTGTCCAGTAAAAAGGGGAAAAGATTGTTGAGTAACCATCAGTAACTGTATGCCGGAGGAAGACTTAAGATGTTACCGTTCTATAAAGTCAGATGAGGGATGTCATATCCCAAACTGGCAAAGTCATGTGCTCTCCCACAGCGGACGCGAAATACCGCATATACTGGACAGTGTAATGGAATAGCGGACCTCAAAACTGAGATGGCCATACAGTGTACGAGGATAACTGAGAATACAGATGGAATTCGGCATTAAATTCTGCACCACAACCTACTAGGTCGGCGGATTGTCCATTACATCAATTCGTATAAATTTAAATCATTATTTATTTATAAATATTTTATTACATTTTTGTCTTATTTTTCATCGTATTTTAACGTCAGTAAATTTTATTTAGTTCAGTGTTACCTAAAATTTTTCTGTTTATATTCGTTTTAGCCTCAAGATGAGAAAACTAGTACTCTAAGAAATGTTACTTGATTTCCATATTTAAGAGAATCGCTCTGTGAAGAAAGCTTCTTTAGTCAAATTATCTTTCAAGGAGAAAACAAAAATAATTTGACAGAAGCAATATTTATTCGAAGTACATTAGAATGTGCACCGTTTTCCAGACAAAGAAAATTCGAAATTCAAAACTAAATAGACAAAAAATGCGAAAACGTATCAGAAAAAAGAGAATGTAACATGAATTTTGACAAAACATTTATAAGTAATGCGTTGCAACATTCTTCCATCACAATAAAATAAAGAACAAAAAGAAGAACGCATGTGTCAAAAACGGAGAAAATTAAGAGAATAAAACTGAATGGTGAGACAGATCACTTCACTTTATCGCGGATGTAAAGAAGGATAAGGAAGAAGAAAAAGTTTTCTCGAGATTCTAAGGGTGAAGTTTGCTGTCGCATATCCTGCCAGGAACGAATAGCGAACATAGTAGAACTAGTAAAGCCACTAATATACTTACATTAGAATGCAATTTAAAAAAAATTCATTTCCAGCTTTCCACAAAATACTGAATAAGAATCATTTTCTCGATTCCTTGATTTTTTGTGCGAATGCTACCTATTAATTGTTTGCAGTAATAGAACTCCTTTCTCGACTTCTCCGACATCTCTGGACGTGACCTGCATTCTAGACATACTTCACTTCAGTATAACTTTCTCTCCAACCGACTACTATTTTCTCCATAACTGGATGTAATAGCTTGTTTCTTCCTTATCTAACTAACCTAAGTAAAAACACCAAACGACTTCGCAATTGAGCATTATAAATCTTCTTCAGATAGAAGAGTTTAAAAGTTATGTCTTTGAGACGACATGCATTATTGTTTAAAGACGATCACAGAAAATCGATAAACGAGTTGAGTTGTTTTTAATATTAAAACAGTACAGTTATGTATCACGTACCAGTTTAAATTATATCTATACGAACCTCCTCTTTCGTCATAGATTCAATTGTTCTTTATCAAATATCAATTTGTTCTTTATCTGTCGTAATTTTATTGAAGTAGATATTCGTAAAAAAGTACGATGGTGACAGGAACAGTCCACTAACAATCGTACATTTACACGTATCAGTTTTGTTCAAAACTGCTCTGAGACAAACGTAACAATTATTTCACATTTTGTCTTTTTCCCGAAGTGGGTGATATAGGTACAGTTTCATTAACTATGATGTAGGTAACTATCCCTATAACATACGTGTAAGCATATATATCCTTCTTTTCACATTAACTTAAATGTAACACGCTGTAAGATGTCTTCCAAAGATCATACGTTACTCATTGACAGTTTTTAGATATAACTATTCTAAAAAATATTTCTGCACGGACTTCCGTGCAAGCTTGAGCAGAAATCTTACTCAAAAAATAAATTATACGAATCGTAATTTCGTGCTGCAGCATGTTGGTCGGTTTTCACATGGTGTTTTCGTGCAGTTAATGACCTTGGGTAACACGAATAATTGCGAGAAACTCCGGTTGTAAACGGATTCCTGTACTACGCCAGGTACATTCACCGCATTGTTTACAGTATTTTTAAAAGTATTTTGTTGTACATGATGTTCTCAAGGATAATAAATGCAATTTTTTTTTTCGTTTGACCATTAAATCATTTTGCGGGCAATGTTCTTGTAGATATATAGATAAGTCAAAAAGAGGCCAAATATCTCAATATATATTTCTCTAAAGTGTTGAAAAACTATATGTTAGAAAAGGACAAATAGTCATAAATTGTCTGCGGCAGATGTTTTACGAAATCCTTTTCATTCAATGTACGTGTCAATAGAACTGAGTAAAAGTATTCACTTGTTCAGGTCAATTATCCTCAAGAAAATGCTCTTGAGAAACTGCCACTAATGATGAAAATGTGTTGGTTAATGAAACAAAAAGAGTCGGAAAACCCAGATAATCCACTCACTCTCAAGATTACTCAGGCCATTTTCAAACTGAATTATACATATCACTTATTACATGCAACATAGTCATATTTCATGTTTTGTATTTTTTTAATATTATGCGAAAAAAATAATTGTATTTTAACTAGAGTTTCGTCTTTCTAATTTATTTTCTGAAAAGTAACGATTATTGAATTTTGACGGTATTACACTTAATGAGCGAATTAACTTGTTGAAATTTCTAAAATATTCAAGAGACTTCATGTAAAGTAATCCCCTAAATTAAAATATCGGTTTCAAGTTCAAGAGGTCGCGACATCCACCAGTTCCATTGGGAAATATCAATTTTGGAGAAAATTAAACGGTTTAGCTGCTAGCGTTTTGTATTATCTAGGCTATCCGGGATGAGCCATATCTCAGTCGTGGTGGCTGTTCACTGCTTCGTTACCAATTATAAGAGTTCATCTGTCGAAAATTCGCCTTTTTTTCACGCAACATTACATAACTTTCTCTCTAATCTGTTGCGAAAAGTAAAAATTAGGTGCACGTTCCTCAATTTCTTCCCCTGAGAAACTGCCACTGTAATACTGAGCAAGATATGATTTTGTCAGAAACTTCAAGATGCTATCTCTCCGATATCCTTGGAACACTCTATAGCGAACCACAATATCATTCACGACCCGGATTTTCCTGTTAATTCCATTCCATTTGGACTGCGAATTGACAAAGTGAGTTCTTTCACAGAGAGAGTGGCGTTCACTAACGACAAAATATTAATATGACCGTGCCAGGGTCGCAACACATTCATTTATTACATCTGTCCTTGGATATGTTCAAACCAAGGAATCTAAATTAAAGATATTGAAAAAAGGATTTTCCAAAGGACATTGTTTAGGCTATTGGGCGTACGCAAATAAGGTCTTCTTTTCCTTACAAATCGTCAATTTGCCCCTCCCCTTCTGAAACAAATGGCCTCAGACAGGTAGCTGTTTTATATCTTGTAAACTGAGGGGGAAAATACTAGAAGAACGAGTGAGTGTCTATTGATCTTAGACGTGTCAACTACTCAGATCAAAATGCCCGTTTGTTTAGTGCATGTTATACTCCGGGAGGCAGCGATGTTCCGCGCTCATCGGAACATGAGATCCGGTGCCAACCTACACGTCAGCTGAAGGGAAATCCACATATCATGTAGTTCTCCGGCGAGACACCGCTCCAACCGGGACAAGCACTAAGTTCCCGACTAGTTCCCGACATGGTAGTAATGTAACTTAGGCGCACATAACTAAAGCCGTTGGTAAGAGAAGAAGAGTAAGAGGATGAGGAAGGAAATATCGCGCGCGGTCTTTGGCTCATATCTTAGGGTTATTCAGCGGCTTTCGCCTGAGCAACCACGAAAAACTACCGGTCAAAGTAGCTGGCGGCTAGAATTCTCCTCCAGACCGCGCTGGAATCCGACCCAGCTCCGTAGCTATTGTCGAAACTCCTCCACCGTCGAAAACCTATGATTTCCTGGCCAACGAAACTGTGGATAGCTAACGATGTTTCCCCTGAGCCGGTGAACATACCAGAGCGCCCGCAGCAGCGCCGCCGCCGCCGGCCGTGGGCACAAAGAACAACGGGAGGCCGCGCGAGAAGCGGAATTCCCCGCGCCTCGTACACGCTGGCAGCGCGGCGTGGCGCGGAGCGGGGCGGGGCGGGGGCACCGGCGGCGGCGGCGCGGGGGCCTCGCGGTGCCAGTCAGCACACCGCTGCGGGCCTAGCAAGCACATACGTCCCCGCCGCCGTCGTCGCCGCCGACGCCGCCGCCGCCACCACCGACAACCGGCCGTATGGCCTATCAAGCAGACAAGGTTAGTAGTGGCGCACCAAGATTGTGACAGAACATCAAGGGCAGTGCGGTTCCGCGACGTTTGAACTCATCTACAAAGACACTATGGAGGTTTTCCGAGTCCTGCTTAAACGTAGCCCTTGAACGTTTACAAATGGTCGCTTTAACTCTGTAATCTAATGTTAAAAGTAACGCAAACACTTCTATTCCTCTATTCAAAGTTGAAACATTACATTTTTTGCTGGATGATTCTTCCAAAGTTTTACTGAACACTTGGAACGTGCTTCTTTACCGTTTATGAGAAGTTTCCGTTATGAGGCCACATCGATGTAAAGACTCGGCGCTCGATTGTTTACATAAGCTTGGCAGGAAAGGCTGAATGTGAATACATCAATATATCAGAAATGGCTATCCCAACATTATAGGTGACCACAGATTTCTTGGAAGCTACGTGAAAAGGTACCCGAAGAGATGAGAGCAACTCTGCGACAACCACCTTACTTATAGCACGGGCATTAGTGAAACTTAAATATTCTTCTCCTGAATATTTTACATATTCCCTTAATACCGAACTCATAAAAGAAAATTGTATACGGTATACTACATACAGCATGTAAATTGCGAACAATGTTGAACGGTGAGACATTAGTTATTTTACGTTTCATTTTCATTTCCCACTGTTCCACAAAAAAATTGAATAAATTTAATCAATATTTAAAGCATTGATTTTGAGGATTCACGGAAAAAAGAACAGTTACAGTATACCAGATCCATAATACTGTAACAAGGGAACTTGTTACAGTATCATGGATATAGTATACTGAAACTGTTCTTTTTTTCCGTGTATGATTTGTTAAATAGGTCATAAAACGTTCCACAACACCTCACTATAATGCAAAATGTACAACGAATATGACGTACATTACTCCTCTAAACTAAAAGTAAACTTTCCTCCCTTTTGAAACTAGCACTGAAATGCTATGTCCTGTCAGAAATACTTTCTTCAGTCGAACCTCACCAAATATAATACAAGCCCACATACCGCCCCCATTCCTACCTGGGAAATCTCATCACGTGAATCACCACGCTGTAAGGCTTGTGCTTCTGGAATCGGTGGAGAGCCACGCGCGGGACGGAATGGTTCGGGACGGAACGGCCGCTGCGGCTGCTTCCGGTGGTGTGGGTGAAAGGGGCCACGTGCGCCTCCACACGTGCGTCCGTTACGTGCTCTTGCGCAACCTCAGCGGCGCGCCGCACTTTCTCTGGCGGACACCTCAGCCACCGCCGCCGCCGCCAATGTCAAATCCACGCCCTCTCAGCCTTCGCAGCGCCGGAACTCGCACCACTAACACCCGCGGAATTCGCTCGGAGCCATTGCCGCTTCTCTTTGGAGACCGTGACCGAGAGGACCTTGGGTTCGGAACCCGACGGCGGTGGATTTTCACAGCTATCTATAAAGCTAGGGCGAATTGAGGAGGTAGCTGGAGGAGAATTCTAGAGGCCCGTTAATGTGATCGGTAGTTTTCCTTGGTGTTTGCTGTCAGTACCAGGCGAATGCCGGAGCCGTGCCCTAATAAACGGGCCACGGACTGCGCGCGATCTTTCCTTTCCATTCCCTACCCACCATCACCATCATCATCATCATCATCATCGATTATCCTTTTAATAACATGTTCTCTTCTGCTTTGGACTGCGAGAGTGTCGGCCTTTCGGCTATTTGAAATACATTAGACTAACGCTAGGAAAAACAAGAACACTACTAACACCAACCTATATTTCGTCACATGGATAACCAGTAGCGGAGAAGGGTAATTGCCTATCGAATATTTGAATAATATCATTATTTTTATTCATAACGCCACTAACATATTCATGGGCGAATGGAAGTTTTGTATGTAAATGTAAGTTTACCTACGAATGAAGGTTAAATCAATATTTTGCCAAAGTCTGACTTTCGCTTTCAGTTTCAATATTTGCTCATCTTTGCTTCTTTTCCGAAAATTACCAAATATTTTTATGTCAGCACTGTCTATACGTACGTTTCTTTCACATATTTTTAAAACGCACATATTTCGAAGAGAAGAAATTTGTTGATAGAATATGCAATTATCGTCATTTAGATAAGTCGTTCTTTATGATGAATCGAATTCAAGCCAATTCACAGAATTTTCAAGAAGTAAAAAAGTCAATCGTAAGATATCTAACATAACTTCACGAAATTACTTTTTATTTTATTCCCTATTGCATTATCCAATATACTAGTTACAATTAATTATTACACAATTTCCGTTTCTTTTGACAGGTTCACAGTTTTGTAATGAAGATAGACACAAAATGTTAGTGAGGAAGTGATAAGATGTCACTAAAGCTGAAATGTCGATGATAAACACGACTGTTCAAATCATTAACGAGAACTAATGGTTTTCCAGTCGTTTTTTATTCTTCCACTATCTTATTTTTGTAGAAGGGTCGATAATTTTTTATAAACTTATGGTTAATTGCAGAACAGCAATCATGTCTTTTTATCCAGCGCGTATCATAAAAATACTTGAATAATATTACTTTCTCGCCTTTCCTTTGCAAAAGAGGGTTCCTTTCTGACCCTTACTTCGTAAGAAAATAAAGTATTGTATTCGCGCGTCGGAAAACGGCGAATTTAGGATAGAAAAACTCTTATTGTTGGGCTCTGGTAACGAAAAAGGTAATAAATCCAGTTCCTTAATATAGAAAACAAAATACTCTATCAGCTGCAGTAGCCAGAATCCTTGTTTTGTGGATCCTTGATACCGAAAAATTGATTGACGGCAAAACGTCTGTCCGTTTGTGATAAACATTGGCGCTCTAAACAGTCCAACCAACAAATTGATGTCCAACCAACAAATTGATATCCCCAGTCGATCTCTCTAATTAATTGTAAAATATGTTCTACTTTTTTACATATAAAGAAGGGGAAAATGACATCTTTGTTACACTCCTCATCACTAGAAGACGTTAACTCCAAGATCTGCAAGTGAAAAGCTTGCAATTCTTATTTACCAAATTGTTAACTTAATGGGGTTATAATGGAGAAAGTGGCCACTAGTGCTTTGTTTCCCTTATTTCACTTTAATGTACAATTATTCGATATTTATCATAACATTCCGTTATTTTAAACGATATTTGTTATTATTTGAACTTTAAATTCCTCTGAAATATATTGTACAGTTAGTTTTCAGACTGACACGTCTTTGCATGTGGGGTCGTGTGTAATCTAGTACACACATCATTTCAAAGGTTTATGGAAATGCCACTCTCTCCACTATCGTTTTGAGAAATATTATAACTTAAATCAGTTATTGAATGGTGAAAACTAATTATTCCATTTTAACCTGATATTGTATTAGCCGCAAACAAATATTCATGCAGATTGTTTTAGCATGTATTGAAACGTGATCATGCATGAAGGTTTATCATTTTTCTTCTCATGTTTAATTGACAGCTATTTGACATTACTTTTGTTATTGAAGAAACGTAACCGCTGAAGTACGTATCAAGCAATCGTTTATCGGTCTCGTCACTGTCGCTGCTCACACCTGGGCAAAGCACGATTTGAATAAACATCAAGAGATTAAAGCATAAAGCCGTTGCATCATTAGTACAAATCTAAAACTCTTAATGCGCGAGAAGTCTGTAATAATCTAAAAGGGGCTTATATTTTTGTAGTGTATTTTTGAGCAAAGCCATTCTTTGGATGGAATGTCTTTGTTTCGAGGAGAATTTTAACGATCATCTATTGTGTAATGCCTGGTAGGGTTTCCTTCGGTTAGTTCCATGCAAATACTAAAGAAAGACGCGCCATTTTCTTAGCATTGTTCTACGATTCTCATCTTCTACCGCTACGTTCCCTTCAGAATGGTTGAAAAACATATTTTCACAATATTACGATTATGCGAAATGCGAAAAATATTTTTGCGAAAGAAATGTGCATAGGTGATCCCAAAAAGGGTTCGCGACTCTATCGAAAACATGTTGAACCTTCAGTCTTGTGTGTAATTGTACAATACTTTCGATTGACTCTATAATTATTAAGTTATATTTATTAAATGAAGTGAGCAAAACAAATAAGGTGTTTAATGATCTACTTTGGAAAATCGTGTGTAAACGCACGTAAATTTCTATCTGCGGATACACAGCTGTGATTTTATTTCTAACTACATTTTATCAAGAAAATCTAAGAATCTCAGTCATAAATTAGAAATTGCAACAATCTTATTTTCTCAGATTCCTACTCACGGTGTCAGATATATTTTGTCATTATTCAATAAATGTTTAGTTTGTGTGTTCGCTCTTCAATAGAATACCATTATTTTGACTATTTCGTTTGGTTTTCTTTGGCAACTCAACACTTTTTACACGTCTCCTAAAGTACCAAATATCTCAACACATTTTATAGTTAGAATAATTTTCTCTGTGTTTATCGTGTCTTATGACGCAATCAAGTAGCAAATGGAAGTGTCAAAGGGTTATTCTCAGAGTTCTTCTCCACTGATCTAACGGAAACAAACAATAAACAACTTCTTTTATCCCTGAAATAACTCATGACGTTCTTCCCGCAAGAAGCTTGTTTTGGCCCGTGTCGCCTTCCACCTGGCACAACGTGTCTTCTCGTGGCCAACCTATGGAGTGCAGTAGGAGGTGGGGGTGGAGGGGGGTGACCGCGGCCGGGGAGGGGGCGGAAGGGGGGCAAGGGGGCAGCGGGAGCGTGTGTCCCTGACCCACGAAGACGAGTACACTAACCGCAGGATGGTGGGAGCGCAAACACAAAGCGTTTCCACGGCCGAACCGGCCTGCCTTCATTCGCTTACGCGCGCGCACGTTGCACAGAGATTTTTTAGCAATGTTGAGATGCGATCACGCGTGCAGTATTAGGCATCATTAGAGTAAGCGACTGCCCATGATGAAAACGTCGAACTTAGAGCACTTATTTGATAATGCAAAATCGTATCACTGTGTCGTCACGTTTTTCAGATTTCTTAGGAGAAG